TAATACTGAAAGTACGGTGATTTTCAAGATAAACTCCAGTCCAAAAAAAATGAGTACATTGTTTGTAAAATTTAAACGTTTAGACAGTGATGTAGACAATGATTGAATGAGTAAAGTAAGTAACTACTAGTAGTCATAGATTTTGTGTTATTGTAGTTCGAGCATTATTTTATTAAAAAAACTTATCGAACTTGTAAGTTTGTTAGACAGAAGAGATTGCTGTGATGGTTAAACTCATTTTTAATTAATGTGTAGAAAAGGTAAAAAAAGCTAACCTTGAGACGATTGAGTTGGGCCATATTGAAAAAAATTGATTCTAAAATCTATTGCATAGATTAGAGATTGTTGCCACAGTTTCAGCATCATTATCATTTGGAAGAAATTGGCAAAAATTGCATCTCAGCCACTACCTTCCTGAGCAAAATCATCTATTACACGTCACTAAAAGATAAGATTGTTATGAAAGTTATCTACAAGTCCTTATTTCAATATGTGGACGCTTTGGCCCACGCTGACAAGTATGTTTTTTAAGCCTTATTAATTTTGTTCTCCGAATGTTGTCTATTCCGTTCCATAAGGGCAATATGTGACAATATTCTAATAAGAATTTTATTGATGTATTCTTTAAGGTAGATTTATGTGTTTGATTGATTGATGATACCAGGTTTTGTGATGCTACGGTACTCTTCTTTCTATATCCGAACACGTATGTCACACGGAAAATAAAACATGATCTACACTTGTTTGTCTCTTTTTTTATTTTTTTTTTTCATCGAAAGACAAATAATCTTTTTCTAACAAAATAAGTTGTCATCTTTATATCAATGTGTGTGCGTGTGTGTGTGTGTGTGTGTCAAGTTGATTTTTTTTTTATGCCTGCTCTAACTCATTGGATGACATGAATGAGACACAACGATTAAGTTGACTAATGATAGAATTTTTGCGTGAAATGACACGAAAAAAATGATCATCATCGTGTTGGTTACAGATATTAGAACTAATATCCGTCAAAAAATATTTCTTTTTGTAGTTTTTAGTATTTTGTGATTCTACTCATTTAAGCTAAAATAATTGGTGAGTGATGAGACACTTTTAATAGCAAAAACAAAAGAAATTTTAAGATACATCGAATCGTCCAGATGTCTATAAAAGTTAGATTAAATGTTTTATTAATTTTTTGAAGTTAAGAATTAGGTAAATATATGTCTGTGTGTCCAGTGATGCACACAAACGATATATTCTTTATCGATATAACGCTTATAATCATCACATATACATAGATTCATATATTTCTAAGGTTAATTACTATTGTTTTAATAAAAACTCAAACTTTTTGAACGCAAATCGATCTTTTTTTATTCTCATCATCAGTCATTTATCTAGTTTTTGATTTTCAGAGGGACAAATCAAAGTTTTGGAGGAGTGACGAAGTATTGTGATTATAAATTTTTAAAGATAAGATCCTACAATTCGGAGGGGGAATGTCCATCCGCTAGATAAATCACTGCTCATTACCATTCTTGTAAAAAATCTAATCTAGCTCAGATTCATGTAAGTCTCAATGAAATGTATTAGAAACACAAGAGAAAACACTTATCAGTAGTTTTACATATTTTTTTATTGTGTCAAATAAACAAAAAAAATATTAGAGTAATTTCTTTCCAAAAAGCATTGTTAAGAATAAGAATAAGTTTTAAAATGTTTTAGAATAACCATAAAATATTTTTGTGTCTAAAAGTGCTGTGTAAAAAAGAAAAAAAAAAACGAGTTGAAGTCAGATTAACTACTAAAGTTTAGTTATTCGTCGTACAATCTCTAATATAAAGTGACATTGATCGGAAATAATTTCATAGTGGTTGTTGTTTATATGTTACGCTTCTTTTTTTTTCTCTTAACAATTTGTCATATTTGACACATTTATCACTAAATTCATTCTTTCGTGTTCTTTCTAAAGGTTTACGAAAAACCATCTATATGTGTGTGTGTGTATGTGTGTAAGAGCGCTTTCGTTGTATCTACTTGATGTAGATAGCATAAGAAAGAGAAAAGAAACAAAAACAAAACATGAATAGAATAAGGAAAGAAAATAAATGATTTGACCATGTACATAAAAATAATTCTTATGCGTAGTAAAATATTGAAAGGGGAAAAGTGGAGTCATCAGTTGCGGATCGTTTCATTCACTTGATCATATTCATTTAAATCTTTGTGAACCATGTTCGTCATTCTAAAATTGCTCGTAATAATAATTAAATATGAAAAATTGTTTATGTCGTTAAATTAGCATATAAGAGAAGATTTTAGACTTGAAAAAGTGAAATTTCTTTTTTTTAGTAAGTTACTATTCTCTCTCATTAACGTTTAAACGATCTAAATATAATTGACAGTGAATGGTACTAAAATAAAAGGTATTCTTAAAAATCAGTATGAGATTTTATGTTCAATTTGTAATTAAAAATTTATTGTAACTGAGAAAAATTTATCGAACTATCTTTTTTAATGACAATCGTATATCTCTTCAAGATAATTTTTTGTTTTGTATTTACTTTCGATATCTAAGAGGATATAAAAGACAGTCGCCGTCATTGTTGTCGTTGTCATCACAGAGAAAGAGAGAGAGAAGAGTATTAATTAATGAGAGAGAGTTGAACAACGAGAAAATATATTTAAAAATCGAGTCGATATGTCAAAACATATGTAAATGATTAACGAATATATAAACATTATTATTATAGGACACACATACAAACGTACACAGTTTCAAAATCATAGGGGGCAATCCGGTTACATGTTTATGACAATTCTGACAATAATATCATAATCAGACATTTGACTGAGCATTAATTAGTAACGCTAATAAAAGACTAGTCGTTGTTTTCTATAATTTCGTATATATTTAGCTAAGATTCACACAAGACAAAGAAAGTTGTGTCATAGTTTTTCTAATATATACGGACCGACTAAACTTTTCTTATAAGTCTGTTCAGAATATATTAACTTAAAAAAGGAATTTAAGAATTCGAACCTTCGCCGTATAGCTTTCATTTCGATTGAAATAACATACATACTAGAAACATAATTTTTTTCCATGGATTGTTTGAGACTAGCAAAAAAAAAAATGGTCGTGATTAGACATGCATTGGCATTTACCGGTAGATTTTACCCCTTTCTTCAATCAGATTGATTACAAAATACAATATATCAAATTTTTTTGACAACTTAGTTTTATAAAGCAAACATTTTTCTACAGAATGAGACATGATAAAACTCTTTATCTCTTTTCTTTTCGCCATTCTTGACAAAGAGCCGTTAACCAGTACCGGTATCAATACTAGCAGTTGCAAGTATTAAATTAGAAGGAAAAGTACGATCATATTCCATTTTGTAGAGAAATGTTTGCTCTACAAAGCCAAGTCAGTGGCTTAAATAATTCTAGAAGATTATTTGCATTAAAAAAAAGTTTTTCGAGAAAAAAACATGGAAGTGCAACCCGTACTTCCACGGATAACATAATGAAAAGTGACTCCATTTTAGATGTTTACGGACACTCCGCATTAACTTCCTCTTTCTATCGCATTCACCGTCTGTCTGCAGCTCTATTCATGATCAGTGGAATATTTACACTGCAATTTTTCATTGTAAGAAGAACCCTATCCTAACGTTTAGGTTAGATTTGGTATAGATTGTGAAAAAGTAGAAAACTTTTTATGTATTAAATTACTATAGAGATCTAGTTCACAGATCCCGATGCTTTTTTGGTTAAGAGGAAGCTAAAATTGTGGCGAGAAGCTACTAAAAACTAACTAATTTCACTTTCACGCAGTCAAAAAATTTGCATTCCACTTTAATATCTAAGCGGAAAAATAATACAAAAATTCGCCATGAACAGTTTTTTTCGTCAATATCACATTTTCGATGACGGAATGTTACATAAAAAAATGTTAATAAAAAGTCAGAAATTTCAAGGACGGGTCAGCATCTCTAGCTCCACCCTGGTTAGAATTCGTGCTCTAGTTGTGAAACATGTAAATTTCACACATAAAAACTAGGCGACGTCATATGATTTATGTCCAATAAGAATAGACATGATTATTCTCTATCTTTTATAGTTAAAATTTAAACAAAAAAAACGAAACGTAGTTTTTTTCGTTTATTTTCTGTCTTTAATTTTGTATTTAAAAAAAAGACTAATAGCCAACAAGTGTCTGAATACACATATTATATATGTATATTCATACATCGTCTACATTCACACGATTTATTATCGTACATCCAATTTGACATGTTTCAATTTTCTGTCCTTCATTTAAAGTCATGTTATTTTAAACAAGTGATAAGCTTTATTTATATTCGCGTTTGTTTCTTTCTTTTTCTACGAAACTATAGAGAATCATTTGCACAACAGAAAAAGATGAACAAAAATTATGATTGAGTTTTGAGACACAGTGGCGCCGCGAGAACTTTAGAGTAAGACGGGAGTATCTCAAAAAACTGTAGAAAGTCTAATAAAATTACTCTAAGAAAAAAACAGGAACACAAATAAACCATGAAGTTTTTCTACGATTAACATAGACAGTAAGCGCAAAATGACTTTTCTCCGGATTTTGGAAGAAACATGGTGAGGTGAGAGAAATGTGAAACAAAACCCACAAAAATTATCTACAAAATTGAAGAAAATTCCTATTTTTTTTCTCCGAATTCGAGCAAATTGATCACATTTATCGCCGAAATTGAAGGAAATTTACATCAGAATTTTTAACAGCAGGAGAGAGGACCTCCACTATCCCCCACTGTCGCGCTGCCACTAGCACCACAAAAACTAAGTTAGAGCGTCGTCCTTTGGTCAAAAGTTGTCGATACTAAAAGAAAAAGGTCTGATTTATAACAAGAAAGAAACGCAAAATTAGATGAAAAGCTAAAAAAGTAAAGTTTACTCATATGTTCTCAAAATGAGCAGGTCTCTGTGATTTGAACATATTTAGTATTATTCCAGATTATTGATGTTGACTAATGATGTTCTTTTTCTTTTCGATTATATTTTAATGTTTTTTTCATGCCGCGGTCATTTGTCTCCACATATTTGTAGTGGTTTATATAAACAAGACAATCTCACTGATTGTCTGTAAGGTTTAAATTATCGCACATCTCTCTTTCTATTTCTCTCATCTTTTTGAACGACAGAACAACAGTCAGATCAAAAAAACGACTAATGAGTATAACTTTGCATTTTCACAACTATTCCCGCTGTGTGATGTATCTTCTCTTTTTCGTACCATATCAAATATCAACAGAGAACCTGTTTTTCGCTTCGCGTATGGTGATAAAACAAAAAAAAGAAGAGAAAAAAAAACGAATGTTTATGTCATCATCATCATCATTCGAAAAGAAGAAATTCCATTCCTGATAAGACTATGGATGCTGTTGCTGCTTTTTTTTTTTTTTCGTGCCTTTTGAAAAAGCGAAAAAATGACAGCGACAGAGTGACTATATAGAGTACATATAAAGAAACGAGAAGAAGAGAACGGTGAAAAAAAAAGAATGTAAGAGAGTCCAATCAAAATTTCGTTTCACGTATAGAATGATTGTCATTCGTCGTTGTTGTCGTTATTGTTGAAAAAAAATTTTCAATTGTGTCACTTTTTTATTCTTTTATTGTAAGAGAGGTGAATAGAAGAATAAAAAAGAAAAAAAAAGTGTCGCTTCAACGTCGTATTGGTTGACAGTATTTGTGTGTGGGTAGATGAAGGTAGTCACTGTTTGTTAATGTTTATCATAAATTTATCTTCTATTTATTGTGTTTTGGTTTTTTTTTTATTATTATTATTATTATTTTAGACTGTATTAAAGTGTAAAATTTCAAATTGTCAATGTGAACAATTTCGTGCCAGTTCAATATCCGTACGTTCTTGTGACGAATGTAAACATAGTTATGTTAGTCATGGTAGGTATAATATTATACAGATATAAATTGAATAGGCATATAGATAACAAAAGCTCACGTATTATAGTGATCACTTTTGTGTTAAAAAAAGAAAAAAGTTCGTGAGAAGACTTAGAGAGAACTAGACGTGATACTAAATACGATATAAAGACGCAAATGTCTTTTATTAATAATAATAGCTAATAACAGAGACTAACGGTTTTTTTTTGTTGTTATTGTTGTTTTTCTTTTAGCATTAAATCGTCAAACATCTTATACAAATTTACAAAGTCATTGTGATTTAGTATCAAGTGAACATATATTTGAAATTGCAACATTATGTCTTTATGGTTGTACAACAGTTACAACACGTATTAAAATATTACTCGATCGATTATTTCAAGAAATACATACTAGTGAAAAAGAACAAATATTAAAAAATTTAAGATGGACAATCAATGATTATAACAAATCATACGTAGAACAAGTAAGTTATTTTTGATGTTTTATTTTTTTTCTTCTTTCTTCTCATTTATTTTAAAACTAATGAATTTTTCTCCCAAAAGATTTGTTATTGTCTTAGAGATGAACCAAATCACTTTCAGATGTGTTTTAAATATTGAATGAATGAACAATGTCAATATATTATTAACTAATTAGACTTTAGGCACTCTCATTTAGATATCACCCCTGAAAGATAATGTCTATACAAGACGTGTAATTCTATCTCAGACATGTACGAGAACTGCCACCATCAAATTGTTCAATCAGTCTTTCTTTTTTTTTTTCTTCTTTCTATCTATCTATCTATCTATCTGTCATAGTACAATGTTTCTTTAAATGGACCATTCGTTTTTTGTCCGCGATATCGATCTATGTTCAATTTTTTCAAGAATTATTCTTCTGTATATGTATGAAACTTGTTAGAAAACAAACGGAGAAACTTGATATTTTGTCGACGATGAACGGTGGTCAAAAAATATATTTGTAAGGATCAAATAATTTCTTTTCTTCTGTTAAAGAAAGACAAAGAAAAATATATATGCGTATATAGAAAAAAAAAAAAGAATATAGGTTGGTTGATTGTATATACCTTGAACTGGTAGTTATGTTGTTTGTACGATCAACTTTAGACAACGTTATCTGTTTGTTACACGTATTCTTATAGAAAAAAACAAACTCAACTCTTTTGATCCATTAAAACGATTTTATCTTAGAAATTTTGTTACATGATGTACAAGTTGGCAATATTCAAAATCTGTGACGTTTTAGTCACTAGTAATGTTCTATTTTTTCATATCAATGTCATTTCTACTAATGTGGGGTTATATTGATCTTTTGTCGAACAAAAGAAGAACGAAGTTATACTCTTGCTAAGATCACCCTAAAGAGTATCATCCCATTCCTATTACCATATTCGCTATGTGTATCTAACTGTAAGATCATCTATTGTGATTATAGTGAACGGTAAGAGGAAACTTCTAATACTCATCCTAGTGTTTTTTATTTTATTTAACTATTTACAGACCTACATTACATAATTAGAAGAGAAGCCGTCGTTCATTTCATCTTTTTTTCTACCGTGTCATCCTTCTTTTTTGTTTTTGATAAAAACCAGTTGAAAAAATCTCGATAGACAATCGATAAGTTTTAATCAAAGTGATGTCATGCACACTCATACACATTTGATCTACTCTTCTCTTCCTTACATGTCGTTCTTCTTCTTTTTTTTTATTGAAAAGTGGTACTGGACGATATATATAACGGACAACTTCAAATAGTAATCGTTTTATGATAAGTTCTCTTCTTCTTCGTATAGATATCATAATAATTATTATTATTGAACAACAACAACAACAACAACAACAATAGGAGCAATTCTTTATATCTATCTGAACAATTACGAGGTTCAGTCTCTTACACAATCGAAAAAGAATTGAATATGTTCGATCAAATTACATAGTGGTTATAAAATCTTTCAT